TGCAGTTCTTTACCCTATACTGCTTCAAATTGAATAAATACTTCAGGCTTCAGGCTTTTTCAAGCTCCGGTGATACATGAGATAAATCTCTTTCTCCTCAAAAGGTGAAGTGCTTTTTAGCGCTCTTTTCTTGCCCAGTGGGTTCTGTGGGCAGAAAGGAAGCATTTTCAAACTGATCCACGGCCCAGTAACTACTAGCCTTACTGCACTTCCTTCCTTCAGAGAACCAGTAGATTCCCTTAAGTGCTAATGGGAAACTTGATGAGGCCTTTAACCCAGTGCCTACCGCTTCTGGGCGATCTACAGGATATGCCTCAGCTGCATTAGTGCTCTGTGGTACCAGGGATGGAGGCAGATTTTGGCTACCTCACCAGACCCTGAAACACAAATCTCATCCCCCTCTGTGCCTGGCTACTGCTCTTCTGCATGCAGGAAGAAGTTCGCACTTGATGGACAGAATCAGCAGAGAGGTTACCAGCTCTGATACCCCTTTCGCAGAAAACCCAAGGGCTTTGCTAAGGTCTTTTTTTGCCTCCCCCTATTTGTCTCAAACCTATCAGCTGCAAATGGGAACATTGTGGGGGTACTGTCAGACAAAGCAGGCTGCTCAGTGGTTTCCCATCCTCTTACCACATCAGGTTGGCTTCCTGCCATCATGCATTTGTGCCCGCTGTACTGCTTCCCAGCTATACCAAGAAGGGCAATGGGCTTTATTGGTGCTGAATTTCAGTCTTTCATTCTCATCTACCAGGGTAGATGCTTCCACAAAACATCAGCAGCCTGAGGTGCAAGCACCAAGTAGCCAGTGTTTTGCTTATTTTCTGCCTCTCTTCCATATACACTCAGCTCCTATCACCACAGTCATATCCTTACCTTCCTGCTATAATGAACATGCTAATTTTAAACAATCCACAGTTAGCTTTCTTACTGCTTACACAAAAGCAACTCAAAAGGACTAAAGGGAACTCTCTCACTTAGGCCACAGATTCAAGGAAAAATAGCAACAAATTACTAGGGACCTTAGTTTTCTGAGAGTGGTTTTACTTACTGAGACATAAAATGGGAGCAGGTGCTGGACTTTATAAATAATCGAGAGCACAGAGCTCTCGCCTCTCGGCACAGTGCACACAGATATTCAGAGGTCACTTTAAGTGGAGAATTGCTTCCAGTGAAAAGAGCTTTTGCAGTTGTCCCCTACATAAACAGCCACCTGCCACTAGCATATCATGCCAGAGGATGGGTGTACTGGAGTGTAAGACACATATGGCTGACCAAGTTAACCTTCATTAATGTTAAATCCTATCAAGATGTTTTTGGAGAATAACTTTACTGAGCTGTACTCTGAAGAATAAACTTCATTTCTTTATACCATGAGACAATGTGAATGTGCAGCAGGGAGTATTATTTGAGGAAGAAAGTGATGAATGGTGGAACAAACTCTGCAACTGGAGGGAGGGATAAGAAGGAGGAGACTAGAGGATTAAAAATGGGAGCTAGCCAGGAAAGAAGAAAGGCATGTGAAAAGGAGCAAAACATGACCTACTGTGGGTAGTAACTGGTGGGAGGAATAAGTGAGGGGAGAGACAGAGCAAGGGTGTTAGAGAAGCACTGGGAGCCAGCCAGCATGGAAAAGAAAGTGTTATTTAATAGCATGGAGTGGAGAAACTGGAGCTGTCTGTGACATGTGGTGCAGGACAGGGGACCAGAGCAAAGCTTTGTAATGAGGGTTTGCTGCTAAAGCTGTATATAGGTCATGAGTGGAGTGATGAGAGCAGTCCGGAGAGCAGGCAGAATAGTTTGGGACTAGCATGGCAGATTCCCTTCCAAGGACAAAACAGAAGTTAAGGGCTGCCTGTTGTCAGCAAACATCTGTGAAACTCTGTGGTGAAGTGCCTTGCTCTCCTTAGCGTTGATACAACTAGAGGACGACCAACCTTGTCACCATCAGTTCCATCAGCTGACAGCAGTGGATGTACATGTGGGAGATTTGACTGTTTTGGTCCTGCCACTGTCACCTGCCAACTGAGCTAAGGAATTCACAGCACCAGGAGCAGCCTGTTACCTTTTAAGAATGACTGTCAAAGGGGTGGGGGGACAGGAAGGAAATGGAGAGAAATGTCCTGCTGGTCGGTTTCACGGCTATTTGTGAGCCAGAAAAAGGAGGTGGAAGTTTAGCAACCCTGACTTCCATTTCCCATCTCACTTGTGCTTCTACACCCTGCCTTATTTTAGCCTCCCTCTGTACCCCCACCCGCAGCTCTTCCTGCTGTCTACTTCTTCTCTTGCAGCTACTACCTGTCACCCCTACTCATGCCCCCATTTGCCAGCCGGTATCTCTGCTCCCACATTCAGTCCTGCTGGGGGGTCCTAAAGGGACCTCCTAAAGGGGTCTCCAGTGATTCTTCTTGTTTCATGCTCCCTCCCTGTAGCTCCCAACTACTCCTTCCTCTGTCACACATGCCCTGCTCCTCGCCTGTTGCCCTGCCTCTGTCCCAAACTTCTTCTGCCCTCTGTCACCTTGGCCCCCTTTTCCCTGGCTCCTGTCAGCCCTCCCATGCCTTTTGCCCATTTCACTAATATTGTCTTGCCCATTTCCTGTGTTTGGCCTTTCCTCCTCAGGCTCTGCAATTCTCTTGTGTCATCTCATATCTTCTTTTATCGGTTTATATTGCAATCAGGTAGTTTCTCCATTTCTCCTTCCTCCTGCTGCCTGGAATGCCAGCAGAGGGAGCAGTAATGGCACAGCTCCGAGAGCATCCCTGCTCTCGCTCTGCTGCCTGTGATCGCAGGTACGTACGCAGATGCATTGCACCATCAGCAGAGATGTAAGAGCATTAATATCCACTGATGTGATATCTTTGCAGTAAATTCAGTTAATCTTCTAGTGCTAGCTAAACAAAGGATAACTGTAGAAATGTCATCTCATGGCAATTCATCTCTGAATTGTACTTCTCTTTTGCTTTTACCTTTTATCCTATGTCTTTATTTTTTCTTGGTGGAAGGGATAAAATTTAAATAAACTTTTTTGCTAAGGGAAATACAAAAAGATTCAGCGTCTCTCTTCTCTGTAATCTACAATACAAGGAAAAAAAATAATCTATAAATACCTTTTGTGTGTGAGCATATAATCCCATACATAAAATATTTCTTAATCTACAAAAGCAATCAACTCTTCCTCATAAGGAAGTGGCTTAACAAGGTTATCTGATTATTAACTTATCTTCTATACAAGTGTATAGAAGTATGCTTAACTTGGGCATAGAGCTGAACTAAGGGAGTCAAATGGGTTGGTGTGGCGTGGCTTAGCGTGTTTGACATAAATCTGCCAGTGGCCAATCTGCAATTGGCTTTTATGACAGAAGATTCTCCTCCTGCCCTCCCCTGCATCTTGGGCTCCAGGACAGAAACATTAGGAAAGAGTAAATAAACTAGACATAAATTACTAAATAATACTAAACAATCGTTCTAATACTTAAGGCAATGGACTTTCTATCAGAAATCTACTTCCTTTTAAGATCCGAAGCACAGTGCTTAGACTATTCTTTTCCTTTTCTCATTTAAAATGCAATTAATATTAGAGGTTTTCTTCTCAATACACTTCTCAAGCTTTTATATTTTTTAAAGCAGAGTTCAGAAAGATAATCGATACATACACTGCTTATCTGCCACATCTCTAGTCCTTTTCCAAACTTGTTTTTCCTTTCCTAACCGAATGTTTGGATTAATTTCCTTAAAAAACCCCAAACAGTCAAGCCACCCAAACTGTCACAAGGTTATGCACTTACTCTCAACAAGACCCTACATATTTCGCCACCCCTCCCCACTAGGAGCATGCCATATAGTCTAATCTGGGTTAGAAGCCAAAAGCCAAGTTAGATAGGCAAGTACATGTTACATGTGACACATCAAACACCAAACCTCAGTTGTAGAACGTGGCCACTCAAAACCATGCAAAACAGCCATTGCAGATTGGCACATGGTGCCCCACAACAAGCTTACTACAGCATGACACAGAGAGCTTTATAGGTATCATAACTAACCACTGTTGCACACAGTTTCAATCAGCATGGAGAAAGACATCAGCAAGCATTTTCAGCTTCAGAAGTTAAAACCAAAAGAGCAAGCATGAAAGTGTTAGAGGGGATCCCTGCTCTCCAGGATTCTGGAGCCCAAGCCCAGGAGGACATTTCTGTAGAGCGGCATACAGGAGAAGATGCTGTCCAAAACCTCTTGTGCAGTTAAGACAGGCACCAAGAGGAAGAGGCACAATGACAGACACGGGTAGAACTAGGTGAGGTTTGCAGTGTTATTAAGGGCTTTGGAGACATGGACAGACAAAAGCTCAGAGATGTGCTGGTCTGCCCAAGACCAGCTGGAGATGAGTGAACACCAGTCTGTAAGCACTATAGCTGCACTGCTGAGCTATTAATGAGCTCTGTGGAAAGGCATAATTAAGGTACGCATGAGCTCCCTGGTCTGGGTAGATATGTCTTCAGAATGAAGAAAATCTGACTTGAAGATACATCAAAATTAAAAGCATTCAGTGGACAAACCAAAATTAGATCCAAGATCATCTCACTGTGGCAACATATTCTCTCAGCCCTACTGCAATGCCTTTACCGTACTTTTCTACGTTACAACCATTGTGTTAGTCAAAATGAAAATAAAACATGAATCTTACCTGATTTTGTCCCATGCCATGACATGGGTACAGTATGATCCTGTGTCCAGTTACTTGATGTTCATTTGTAGGGTTATAATCAAAACACAAGTCTGCCATTCCTCCGTTCTTCAGCTAATCAAAACAAAAGAATATTTTAAAGTATTAATCTAAAGTAAGAAAGATATGCTGTAGTCACTTTTCAGTCACTCCTGCTGGGCTGTGAGGTTCATATCCCAGAGCTGGTGCAAATTAACTAGAACAGATCAAATGGATCCAATGGCAACATCTCTCTGACTAATGTCAAATAAAACTCTTGGGACTGTCTTGACTTTGGGCGTTGAAGCAGCCAGACACGATGGCTTCCCCTAGGAATGACACCGTGTTCCAGTGTATTTGCAAACGAAGTAGGTAGGAACTATGAAAAGCTGTGTTGAAACCCAACAAGCCAGTAACTCATGCAGAACAAAAGAGTCTGCCATATCTTTTTATTCCCCCAGGATCTACTTGTTCAATTTTCTTACGAAAAGACGACTACATACTTTCCTCAGCTTGTCAAATGCGAGATGTTAGAAGGATTTGTTCTTTAAAGGACTCCAGTACCCTCTTGAGGTTGAACAAGCAGACAGATTTTAAGGCCAGAAATCACGAAAGCGGGTAAGATATATCTCTGGAAAGAGACACTAGGTGTGATATTAAACGTTCTTTACCAGTGTTGCTGATCTCTGACACAATAGGTGCATAACTTTTAGATTAAATTTTAAAATATTAAGTTACCTGATTTTAAAAACATCAGGCTAATTAACAAGGATTTACATTTAAGTATTCAGGAGGCAAAAGTAACTGGAAGTAAGTTAAACAATGCCATAACAGTTACTGACTCCCAGTATTAGCCACTTAACTAAATTTAAAATTACACAGAGCAAAACAGGTTCTGCAAACATAAGTTCAAGCTGAGTGCCCTTGTTACTGAGTGTAATTATATCACAGACAAGAAGAACAAGCAGAGTAAATCTCAGAAGAGTTAGTTCAGCAAGGCGTAATTTCACCACTCTTCCCTAGTTGTGATAACTGTATCCTCAGATCTTCATGTGGAGAATGAATGGACACGAAGGGATTGCAGACGGCTAAAACCAAACAAACAAGACAAAACCCGCAGGACCCAAACCTGCCACAGAGAAAACCACACAAGTTGGAAAATTAAATACTTGTGTTCTACATATATTTTGCTTTCCCAGCTTCTACTTTTATTGCTACCCGACGTCTTTTTTCCACTGCTTTGTGCCTACTCCCGCTGAAAGACAGCCAAGCTCTTGGTGCTCTGCATGCCTGAGCTGCCAGCCCAAGGCAACAGCAATACTTTGGGGGGCTGGGGAGGACCACCGAGTCGGCACGGCTTGGGGCCCCTTGCAGGGCTGCTGGGGCTGTGAGGCTCTCCTGTTAGAGCCAAATGTATACATGTAGGACTGAAGCCCTGTCCTTACAGGCTTTGCCTCTCAATTCCTCTCTGAACATGTTTCCACTATGCATATGGTGTGATTTTTCAGTACAGGATAAACTAACATCTGAATTTGGTGTACGATAACATTCATCCTTAGTTTTAGTGCCCAAGTTTACCAGAAGCAAAAGAAACCCCCGGGCTCCCTTTTCTACAGAAAGCGCTGCTTGGTTTGAGGGGAATGCACTAGACCACTGCACCCCTCCCTCGAGCTCTCAAAAGACGACATTTTGTCTACCTTCATAACACTAGGCAAGAATTACACTTACAAAAACAGGAAAGAAAAGTGTCTTTTACAGATGATTTTTAACACTACCATGGAACTACATAAACCAAATAATAAGCTTCTCATGTTTCTACATTCAGCATCAAGAAATGTCAACTTGAAGTCATAACCACTCAAAAATAGTAATTGTATCTCTAAAAACATAAATGGGTTTTGGTTGTCGTCAGCAGCTGTCCTCAGGATCAGAAGGTCTCTCATTAGTATGTTTAATAACATATGACTTTGCCTGACCGTCTGTTCGCTCCAAGGGAAGATAAACACAGCAAAGCCCTTATCCATGGTGCCCTTCCAGACAACCCAATGCCTCTGCTACCACCCCGGGCACGCACTCTTCGCTGTCAGCCCCCAGCACCCGCTCCAGCACGTGCTCCCTTCTGTGGCCTGGAATTTAAAATAACCTATTTTAAAATGCCATGCACCACCAGAACTACAGTAACTCTCCTACACGTTACTCAACGCCCAAATACAGACAACAAAACATAATCTGTGTAAAAGATTACTAACTTAAGCTTCATTTCACATGGTTTAAAACTGAGCCCGTACTCCCAGGATGCTACCAAATACATTCTCTCATTTTTCTCTTTCGTGCATAAATGCTTGGATACGTGCAGACATATTCCTAAACATATACAGTCCATACTTCAACCTGGTTCTTTTCGTTTGTTTTATCAGACATCGATAGATGTTCTTTTATGCCCACACTTCATCAGGAAACCTAATAGATATTCAAGACCTAATTTGTGTGAATAGCGCATACTAAGCTGTTGAATGACTTGATCTGAAATGACAAAGATTTGAAAATAATCAGATTTGAAAATCTGATTGCAGTACCACTTATGCAAAAAAAATAATAAAATCCACCCTCTGTTCCAAGGCAGAAAAAAGTGTGAGAGAATTTGTGAAAGTAGTATTTTTCTCTTGTTAAATGAGAATACGCAGTTTAAGTTCCTTTTACGTGCAACAGCTCTATCAAAACAGTAATCATCCATTCATTTCTGAAGCTATCTTTGTTCCCATATCCACCACAAACAAGTCATGCAATAAGAACAAAATTTTCTCCATGACTTACCTTAATTCTTTTGCAGAATGCTGCATTAGAGAAACAGAAGCAAGAAAAAACGATGATCACCTTGCCATTAAAACACATAGTTCAGTTCTAAAAAGTTCTGTCCATGCAGGATTACTGGCTGTGTCTTTCTACAATGCTTCCCTCTTACTGAAACATTGCAGCTGTACTCTACAATGCCATTTAGTTACCACTGTGTTTGGATGCTGGGACAGATAATAAACAGCAACAACTGAGATATTCACCTCAGACCGTTATCACTTACTGCTTGGAGAAATTTAAATCTCATTTCCCAACATCTGGACACTTGCATATAACAACATAATACAGATGGCATTCTGTAAATAATTCTTTGTTTTGGTTTTTTTTTCTTAAACCCCATTTTTTACATAAAATCCATTTCATGTAACTGTAAGCAAAGCATCGACAACAGATTTTTGACATTAAAACTTCATTACATTAGGTGATAAATACAGCAAGTGGAGCACAGCCAACCTTTCTCTTCAACCACAAAATAGAGCAGAATCCTCTTTACCCTGCCACAGTGGCATTGGCGCTGATGCATTAGTGGTATGGGTACATGATACTGTGGGAAACAGTAAGATTTTGTAGCAAGCCAACAGCTTCATGGTACTGGCTAGGCATAAGCTTTTACCTCAAAGGTAATCCGAGCAGTCACAGGGAATGATTTTACTGAGTGTATGCCATTTTTATATCACCCTTTTTGGAAAAAAGATTGTGAATACCCTCAGATTTCTGTTAACTTCTTAAGTGCAATGCTGAAATGGGTATGCAACGCTGATGACTAAATCCTTTGAAGGAATCGATGATGAGACACTGCTGTTGGAATTCAGTTGCTCACCCCAGCAAGTCCAGATCTCCCTGGGAGGCTCAAGAATGTACAAGCGCATGTCTCAAGTGCTGATGTGTTCACTTCAGGTTAATATCAAACACCTGAATTTCTCCCACTTTCTTTAAAAAAGCCTGTCTCAAGCTTTCAGAGACTGTACAGCCCATGGAGTGCGGCATATTTTCCTGTGATGGGCATCAGATCTCCAGGTCTAGTCAGGCATAACGTTGGGTACCAATTCAATCTCAAGCGGCAGCTCTACAAATTGTATTGTAATGCAGTTTTAGAGATATACCCTAGAAGAGGCTGCTTTGGAGCCCAATACCTCCAAGAACTTGTAACACCAGACATGCAATAGTCTCTTTGATTACATAACTTAAGCCACATAGCTAAGATCTCTTGTCCTGTAAGCCTGTCCATATATATCCCGTGTTATTTAGATAACTTACAAAATGTTCTCTTTCATGTCACAGCAAAACAAAATTCTTCATAGTTTCAAAGGCTTAAAATCTTTCCGGCTGATTTTTTTTTTTAAGGTTATATCGGGTCTAAATTAAAATAAAATTATGACTAAGTGTTTGGAAACTCATTGAAGATGAGATGGTCTTGGGGGAAAATGTGGAAGGAAGCTGCCAACAGAAAAATTCAGGTTTTTGATCTCCCAATTGATTCCGTTAGTTGCAGATGCCTTTAAGGATAGGTGGTGGAAAGAGCCATCGGCTAGATAGTCACAACAGACATCTATCAGCTTAGTTGCTTCACATTCAGCTGGAAGAAAGATCAGCTAGAAACTGCTTGAGAAGAACAAAGGAAAACTTGTCACATCAGAACATAATATGGTCTCACTGCCAAATGATCAAACTTACAGAAAAGGAGATAAAATCCTGATTTTTGTGTCAATACTGTCTTTTAAAAGCAACCTGGATGCCAAGTTCAAAGCCAAATCCACTGACTGACCATAACCTTTATCCTCAAGTATGCACCCCGAATGTTAGCAATACTTAGTATACCTTAGAGGGGAGAGCACACCTGACTATTCCCTTGCTTTGCAGCCATGCATTTCCACAGTCACCAACATGACAAAATCACAGAGCTGCCCAGTTCCTCTGTCTTCACCTAGCTGCACAATGCAGCAATGTCAGAGTACTGATACTAAACACACAAGATGGCTCAAAGTTCTTCGTAAAGATGTCCACACCACCTCTTCTCAAGGCAGCTCAGATTTTTTTAAGCAGACCTAGTCTGGGCTATCTGGCTGGGCAATCTGCACAGGTCTGGGGTTCAAGTCTTTTAAAGATTTCACACCAGCTGAAGCACAAGTACAGTATACACTTCGCTGCTAAGTGCATGGTCAAGGATGACCAAATCAGATGCTATGCCAGAAAAAGAAAGATATCAGTGCTCTACACAAGAACCTAAAAGGAATTATCAGCCTTTCCAGAAATACTGACATCTTATAATTTTAACCCACTAACTGCCTACCAGCTTCACTGCCTCCCGCCCCAAAGTCAAAAGGTTTAGTTCATGTCCCACACAAAGTTCCAAAGCCGCATAGAGCCCAAGGACAAGTAAGAAGATATTTCCCTCATTTCTAGGCCTCAAGCAGTTTATAAGAATACAGTCATAGCTCAGGCAAAAATATTCAAAATTCAGTATGTTTAAATAAAGTTTTAGGCAGCTAACTTTTTAGACAACCAAGCTTAGTGTAGATATTTTTATCTAGATATCAAGAGAAAAAATTTAGCACAAGCATCTGTTTGTCAGTGCGTGGCACTGAATGCTGCTCAATAATTCTTGCATTTGTTTCAGTAACATACAGCTGACCTACGGGTAATCTGAGAAAGATTTCCAACTTCAGTGTAAAGATTTTCAAGGGACAGAGAAATCCCCATATTCCTTTGCAATCTCTTTGAGCAATTAAATAACCTCACACTAAGCCGAGTTGTTAACAAAGCTGACACTTTTAAACACAGTATTTTTGTGAACCAGGAAAGCACTAGATGGCTAAGGTAGGAGTGAAGAGCACGATCAACAATTCATTGAGGTTAGCAGCTGGGACTCAATATCCACAAATCAGTTGAATCAGTAAGTGTCATTTTTGCACTGTCACTTTCTTAGAGTATAACTGTACTTTAATCACATTTTAAATTCTTCATGCCAAAAAAAAAAAAAAAGGTGTATTCTTATTATGCTCCAACTAGATGACAGAATTTAAGAACTGTTTTTAGAGAAATACACAGAGCACACCTAAATTACACCATAGAGATCTCAAGCAGCTCTGAACAAGAATTACTACTTCTAGGCATTGTCAACACCTTTCCTGAAGATGATACATGCAGGTAAATCATGAAAGAAACTGCACAAATCTCCTCCCCTCCCCAGGAGGTTGAAGCGCTATCATTGCCACTAGTCTAGGCTGTCTTTCGGAGGGCGAAAGAAGGAGGTGGAGGGGAGGATAGGGCTACTGAAATGCTCCTGGAAAGTAAGTCTTGTATTATCTTATTGCTTCAACTGTCTCTGACCTTGTCAGTTAGCGATCCAGCACAAAACAAAGAAAAACAAACCACTGTTGTACCAGGTCTGTTCAAGGTACTGGACAATGGTGGATATTACCTTTCATGGCAATGATCACACAGAAACACCAACCCAAGTGCAAGCTCCAGGACAAATGGAGGAGGGTGGATGCTCTCTCAGAGGCTCCTAAGGGCTTTGCTGCCAACTGATGCACTCCCGATGGGAGCTCCGACAGCTCCCCATGAGGAATACGGTTCCCTATGGGAAACCACAGCATTTCCATATTAGGATCTTTTTCGTTCAACAGGTAACAAAGCTATTAGGGAAGATGGTGGGGAGACTTGGTTCCTGTATGTTTTGTACGCCCACAGTGATCAGGTTTTTTCCTCCATCAGAGGAGATCCAGCACAGATCGAGTAACTGAAGCGCAGATGGCAGCAAGACAAGATTGTTGTGATACGGGCTGGATGTGATGCAGCTGTGTGGGAATGCAGCTTAGCTAGATCTGCAGAGTGATTGAGTTACCAGCAAAAGCACTTCTAAGTCAATGTGGCACTGGTAATCAGGAAGGTATTTTATACATCTTTGCCTGGCAGAAAGGTGCAGTCCTGTCTTCCTTTTCAGAGGAAGCAGGTATTTGCTGCATCATCTCTGCCTTCATCCCTTCCAAATAAGATTACAGTAATGGGATACACATGGAGCTATAGTTTATATTTATTTGTAAGCTTCAAATAGCATAGAAAGTTGCCAACTTAAAAAAAGAAGAGGATGAAAATTGCTTGTGAACCTGTGCTAGTCTGAAGTGACCTCCAGATTAAAAACGAACATGTTGGTTTTGACATACAGAATCCTGTATGATCTGGGAGCACATAGCACCAGCTCTCTCTCCCATCATCAGAGCATCATAGTTTTCATCAGATAAAATGTGCAAATACATGTTGC